TACTACTTTCCTTACTGGTTAATATTTTTAAAAGTGTATTCTCATTATGCTCTCCAGATCAGGCCATTGGCTCCAAAGTAGACAATTGTTATCATGAAGTTGAATGTAATTGGCAATGGTGTACATACAAGCCTACATTTACATAGTTCCCTTTAGTGGCAGTTATTATTTTCGTTGGATTTCTTAACTCACTTTTAGGCAAAGGGGGAGTGGTTGCCTGCCTCTTTGGTAGCTGGTTGCATGGGAAACACTTATGACGCTTATGGTGAAACGTCAATTGTAAAATTGCAGCAATGATGGTGGTGGTGGAAGCCAATGATGGCCATCAGCCATTCGGGGTACAAAAATTATGAAAATTTAAACATCACTTGTTGTTTGGGTTGTTTCCTCGTGGAAGCAAAAAAAAAAAAAAAAAAAAAGACAAACGAATAAAACGATGTTTTAAGACATTCATGCCGCCGCATCACAATCATAAAACTTTTTTTTCAGTTGAACATCTCGTGTATGGTGGCAGGCAGGCAGGTTGGCATAGGAAGGAGTATTGTTTGCAAAAGTTCCCTCCTAATAGAGTTATTATAATTTGAAAGCGTTATGATAGTGAGTCAGACTGCCAGGCAATTGTAGGCTCCTTCCACCACGAAATGTTCAGGCAAGGTAGCGCCAAAGAAAAAAGGAAGAAAAATCAGCATCACATCACCATCATCATCGTCATCTGAACCATAAAATAGTGAAATTTCCCAAACAACATGGTGGTCATGTTGTGTTGCCACCATAGTGTTGCAGTCCTGACAAAGCAACAGCAGAAAATGCATCCCAACAATGAGAGTCGTGTAGAGTCTCATAATGCTGATGATGATGATGCTGCTGTCCATGATGCTGCTGCCAACAATGGCGGTGTTCGCAGTAGTACTTATTTCTCACTGTGTGTCTGCAGGTTATCATTTTCTAGCCGTGGCTTTGTATTCCCAATTGCTTCACAAACAAACAAAAAGTCAATTGCAATGGTCTTCGTCCTGGCCAGGCCATTACTGGCAGCTGATTTTTTTTCTTTTTTCCTGCACCAGCAGCAGTTGACTCCAGTTAGGGGTCTATTTAAATTGCTACCTTGAAACTTAATTTGGTTTTCCTTTTTCTCTAAGGGGAAGGGAGCTTCTCCGATGTTACTTGGCATTTAAGCGCTGTTCTGTTTGATTTTCTTCTTCACTTTTCCCCATAAAGGAAATCATGATTTGGTGTTCATGTTTTTTTTTATTTTTTTTTTTTAAATATGAAAAGTAATAAAATATTTATTACGAAGACAGGTTAAGGAAAGTTTAAATTTTAAGGTCGTTAAATTCACTTTCATTGTGGTTCATCTATAACAACAACAATTGAAGTATGATTATAATTAATTTTAATATCCAAAGATTTGTTATGTCTCTGAAAGGAATATTTATTTAAAAAGAAATCCAAGCTTTTTAAATGTTCTAAAGAAATTTAAAAAAATTGAAAACATATTTCCTTAAAATCAACGCTTGTCACTGAAAAAATATTTTTCTTAAAAATCACTAAAAACGAAGCTTAAAAATATTTTTTTTTAATCCAGGCCTGTGTATGGAGCTTAAAAAATATTTTTATACCCTTCACCACACAGTGGTACAGGGTATTATGTCTTTGTGCATATGTTTGTAACAGGCAAAAATAATCGAGATAGACCCATGGTTCCTTTTGAGAATATGCACAGAATCACTTTCTGAGTCGATGTATGCATGTCCGTCCGTCCGTCTGTCCATGTTAAATTGTAAACAAAGTACAGGTCGCATTTATGATCCGATTTGGATGAAATTTGGCACAGCTCATTTATTTGGCCCAAGGACGAACCCTATTGAAATTGGGAAAAATCGGTTCATATATATATATATATATATATATATTTTCGTCCGATTTAAGGTAAATGGTTCACCAAAGTCCCTATAAATCTTTCGATTTGTAAAATTTGGCATAACGTACTGAATTCAACCTAGAATGATGTCTGCCAGATTTAGATATAGCTCCCATATATAGTTTCGCCCGATTTTAGGTAAATAGTCCACTAAAGTCCCTATAAATCCTTCGATTTACACGAAATTTGGCACAGAGTAATGAATAAGGTCTATAATGATGTGTGTTAAGTTTCGTGAAAATCGGTTGAGATTTAGATATACCTCTCATATATATCTTCGTCCGATTTCAGGTAAATTGTATACCAAAGTCCCTATATATCCTTCGATTTGCACAAAAATTGAAATAGCACACTGAATTAAGTCTAGAATGATGTGTACAAAGTTTCTTGAAAATCGGTTCAGATTTAGATAATTGGTGCATCAAAAATCCTATGTATCTTTCGATTTGCACGAAATTTGGCATAGCGTACTCAATTGCGTCTATAATAATGTGTGTTATGTTTCATGAAAATCGGTTCAGATTTAGATAAAGCTTCCATATATATATCTTCGTCCGATTTAAGGTACATTTTATACCAAAGTCCCTATATATCTTTCGATTTGCACGAAATTTGGCACAGAGTAATGAATAAGGTCTATAATGATGTGTGTTAAGTTTCGTGAAAATCGGTTCAGATTTAGATATATCTCTCATATATATCTTCGTCCGATTTAAGGTAAATTGTGTACCAAAGTCCCTATATATTTTTCGATTTGCACGAAATTTGTCATAGCGTACTGAATTAAGTCTAGAATGACGTTTGCAGAGTTTCGTGAAAATGGATTCAGATTTAGATGTAGCTCCCATATATATTTTCGTTCGATTTTATGTAATTGGTGCTCCAAACTCCCTATATGATGTTGCTAAGCTTCGTGAAAAGATCCACAGCTAGGCCGATTGACACAACATACTGAAGTAATATAAATTAGTCTCGGTCAAGTTTCCCTGTAATCGCTTCGGATATAAATATATAACAAACACGCGACGTCTGTTAGGATACATATGTAGAATATACCCAAAGTGGTGAAGGGTATCATATAGTCGGCCCAGTCCGACTTTAATACTTTCCTTACTGGTTCTAAATCCCCGCTAGTGCATGAAGCTTAATTTGAAAAGAGACCAAATTTTGTACATGGAAACCAAATCCCCCTAGTGGTGTCCAAAACACACACATATGGGTTAGGTCCCTTATTTCTGCACCCATTACAAGAATATCCTATGTAATAGTTGTGTAGGGTGAAGGGAGGCATTTTTTTTTTTTTTTTTTTTTTTTTTGAAAAAGTTTCAATTTTGTTTCCATTGAAGTGGCGGGCTTATGGTTTTGATCACGATTTTTCATAAAGTCGTTCAATGGTTTTTTTTTTGTTTTATGCTCTGAAATGAAATGCTGGAAAACAAAACGGCCTCAAATTATGTACAAGGACTGAGTTTTGGCGGTTGGTCTTGGTAAGCGGTGGCATGGTAATACTTGGGAAGGGAATCATTTTGTGGGCATAAATGTTCGAATGTTTGTTTGATTTCTGATTCTGCAAATTTCGATTGTGTGGCTAAGGCGTCTCTTACTACCATGTGGCGCAGGCGCTGTTCCGACTACATCAGCATAGCTGTGTTACTGTTAATATTTAAAAATCGTTTTTTGTTTTTGTTATTGCTGTTGTTGGCTCCGATGCCCACGTTAATGTTAATGTGGCACTTGAAGTGGTACCACTCTTGTTGCCGTCAACATCATCGTCGTCGTCATCACCATCATCATCAGGTTGCGGTGGCGGGGTGCTGGCAATTGCCAGGCATTTCAAAATAAAACGTTTCAATTCGTTTTCTCCTGCACTTGGCTGCTGTTGAAGTTGATCTGGCCTAGCTGGATGGTGGAATGGCTGACTGTTTGGCTGGCTGGCTAGCTTTTGCTGGGTACTTTATGGCCTCTTCATGGTTCCACGGTAATGTTTTTATCTTTGCACTGTGTGCCATTTGGGTGGTCCATAAAGAACTATGAATGTATGGACGGACAGACAAACGATGTATGAACTCCGGACAGTCAGACGAACCGACACAGACTCATACCGAATGTTTTTGAGGGAACAGTTACCACTCACTTTAAATTTATTACAATTATCATAATCGAATCGTTTCATTATTTTTGGTACCAGGTTGGAGTGGGTGTTAGTTGGTTGGTAGGTGGCAGTCAGGTTCTCCTGCCCGGCAGCAGTGATTTGGCGTTTATTTCTTTTTCGTTTTTTGTGATTGGCCCATTTTTTTCTTTTTTTCATTGTGGAAATTAGAACAGGTTGTATGTAGTTGGCAGTTTGTCGCATTGACGATGTTTTAAATGGACCCTATTAATGGAGATTGCTCCATTAGGGGGAGGGAATCGATAGTACATTGTTGCAAAATTGTTAAGTCATTAAAAATGTAATATTTCGAATGGAATGGAAGTCTCATTCATAATTGAAAGGAAACCACCACCATCCACCTACTAAAATAAATTATGAAGTTGAGGAGGAAAATCCAAAAAGAAAAGGAAGATAACAAATATTTTTTAAACAATTAATGTTTAAGGAGATTTTTAAATATTTTAAATCATGGCTGAAAAAATATTTTAAAAAAATCTCCGCCTGTCTGTGGTCCTTGAAAAAATATTTTTAGAAAATCCACGACTGTTTGTGGTCCCTGAAAAAAAAATAATTTGTAAAAAATCCACGCCGGTTTGTGGTCCCTAAAGATATCTGTTTGTAGACTCTGAAAAAATATTAAACAAAATCCAGGCCTGTTTGTGGTCCCTGAAATATTTATTTTTTTTTTAATGCTTCAAATAATATATTTTCGAATTGTATGAATTAATTTATTTAAATAATGTTTTAACTCAATCTATTTTTTGTCTATATCTTTTCAGATTCTATGATTATCAATAAACCAGAGACATATTTAACCACCACTTCCAGTTGCCTTATGAACAAATTAAGAAACAAATTTTAAATTAATTTGAATCCCCTGAAAAAATAAAAAAATATTTTAAAACCGAAACTAAATACCTGTCAAAAATGTTTCCCCGCCTAGCTGGTCCGAGTGCCCAGCAACACCAGGACGATGATATATTTGCTGGTGCCACGACAACGGTGCGTTCAGCATTTCCCAATTCCCGCCTAGATTCCCTTGCCAATCACAATTATCAATCGCATGGACAATCAGCGTTAACACCTCCCCATGGATCGCATGGATCACATTCGGCAGCGTCACTGCCAACGAGTGCCACATCACAGCCATCGCCAGCATTTGGCGGCGGAGGCAACAATCATCATCAATTGTTGTCACCCCATGATCCGGCGATACAAACCGATTTCTTAGCCACCGCCAGCACAATATTTGGTGATGCTGCAGCAGCAGCGGCATCTGGTGGCGTGGAGGCCAGCAGTAGTGGTGGTGGTGGTGTGGCGGGCAGCAGTAGTTCGAATCTTTTACCTGCCAATGACGATGACTGGTGGTTGAATGCCATCGAAGAGGATACCTTTGAGTCACCGTTGGCCTTCGATGCCAGCGAGAATGGCCTGTGGAATGGACGTTTTGTGCCACCACCACCGAGACCGCCCTTTCTCGACGAGAGTGTGGCCGCCGATGGTCTGACAACCTGTGATCTATGCACATGGGCATGGCAGCGGAATGCCTATTCATTGGATGGATCGATAGGTAAGTGGGCGTTAGCCAACACCCAATTTTTTGTTTCTTTCAAATTCTTTGGCGATATATATTTTTTTGTTTTTCTTGTTGTTGGTTGATTGCTTCCTAGTATTCTGTCCGGGCTAATCTCTAAGAGTCTCCTCTACTAGTTTTGCTGCTGATAAATGAAAAGATTTTGCCATGCCAAACTGGTCAGACATTTGTAAGGAGTTGAAATTTCACTTTTCAATTTAGCCAACTATGAAAATGCCAGCAAGTTTTCGATATTCTTGGAAAATGTTGAGCAAGGGGTTAGGTGGGGGGATGGATGGAACAATATTGTTTGGTTATCCAACACAAATGAATTCTGGCTGCAAAACTCCCAAAACCTAAGCACCATCGGACAACATTGCCCATAGGCGGCTTTTTGTTTTATCGTCTCATACAATCGATCGAAAAATAATTTATCGCCACAATCACTGATGGCGATTTATCATATTTTGTTGTTGTTGTTTTTGTTGTTCCTGCTGTAGCTGAAGTTTTGTTGTTTAGCTGGTTTTCCTGGAGTTTGCGTTCAACTTTAGCTGGGAGTCTTCCTACTTCATCTTCAGTTTGGTTGGTCGATAAGGACAGTGGTTAATTTGTTTTTTTAATTTTCATTTAAGGACTCCAAAAGGGTTAAGGTTTTTAAAAGAAGTGGATTTTAGGAAAAACATTTTCAAGGACTCCGAAAGACGTGCATTTTTAAAGAATATTTTTTAAGGACTTTAAAAGGCACGGATTTTTAAAGGAATAATTTTATAAAAAAGCGTGGATTTTTTAAACATTTTTAAGGACTCCAAAATGCGTGAATTTTTATACCCTACACAACTATGTTGTCAGGGTATTATAGCTTTGTGCAGCCCCTAGAGTTTCTAACACCGCGAAATATTGGTCCTAGACCCACCTTTAAATATACCGATCGTCATATCTCGACTAGCTGAGACGATCTAGACATGTGTGTCCGTCTGTCTGTCCATAATAATTTGTATACACGATACAGGCCACAGTTATGGACCAATCTTCACGACATTTTGTATGTAGGATGGGTTCTGGCCAATGAAGACCCATATTGTTTTTGGTAAAGATCGGTTAATATTTAGGGGATGAAATGGACCAAATACTTAATTTTTGACCGTTTTTCTGGTCGCTCCAGAGGCCCCAATTATGGTCCGAACATCGCGAAATTTTACATGGATAAGGAGATCGGGCCAAAGAATAAGTATGCCTGTTTCGATATGGATTGTTCAATATTTAGCGGGTCAAATGGACCCTGACTTTTGTGTGACAAATTACAAAATTTGTATTCTATGGCTTATATTTTTACTCCTGAAGGACATAGGTCCGAAAAATTGATAGAGGAGAGGTGTGGTTGACCTTTAAATTGATACCAATTATATGGTCGTATGTACTCAGATGTGGGAGTTACACTTAAATATTTACGGGTGCTTACATACTGAGATATTATTTAGTGACCCATTACCACACTAGAGGGCAGAAATATATCATTGATAGCTTTGAAATTTTCTATGAAGATCCAGGTATGGTCAAGGAAGGTTTTTGGGATGAAGTGGACCGAAAATTTAATTTTTTTGAGTTTTTTTTCGAGTCGATCTATAGGCCACAATTCAAAACCCAACATCACAACATAACCCACGGTAATGAGAATATGGACAAGTACAACCCTCGTCTACAGTCGGTCAATATGGTGCAAATATCGTGAAATATTACCATAGCTCAGAATGTAGTGCGACAGAATGTTAGATTTTCGTGGAAGTTGTGTAGGGTATCACATGGTCGGCCCGGTCCGACTATACTGTTCCGCTCACTGGTTTTAAATATTTTTTCAATGACTCTAACAAGCGTGCATTTTGTAAAGGAATATTTTTCAAGGACCCTAACAGGACTGGATTTTCTGAAAGAATATTTTCAGGGGCTCCAACAGACGTGGATTTTTTAAATGAATATTTTTCAAGGGCTCCAAAAGGACTGTATTTTTAAAGGAATATTTTTAAGGATTCCAACAGGCGTTGATTTTTTAATAACTTTTTAAGGAATCCAACAGGCCTGGATTTTTTAAAGATTTATTTAAGGATTCCAACAGGCGTGGATTTTTTAAAGATTTATTTAAGGATTCCAACAGGCGTCGATTTTTTAAAGGAACAGTTTTCAAGGACTCCAACTGGCCTGGATTTTTTAAAGGAACAGTTTTCAAGGGCTCCAACTGGCCTGGATTTTTTAAAGGAACAGTTTTCAAGGACTCTAACTGGCCTGGATTTTTTAAAGGAACAGTTTTCAAGGACTCCAACTGGCCTGGATTTTTTAAAGGGAAAGTTTTCAAGGACGACAACTGGCCTGGATTTTTTAAAGGAACAGTTTTCAAGGACTCCAACTGGCCTGGATTTTTTAAAGGAAAAGTTTTCAAGGACGACAACTGGCCTGGATTTTTTAAAGGGACCGTTTTCAATGACTCCAACTGGCCTGGATTTTTTAAAGGAACATTTTTCAAGGACTCCAACTTGCCTGGATTTTTTAAAGGAAAAGTTTTCAAGGACGACAACTGGCCTGGATTTTTTAGAGGAACAGTTTTCAAGGACTCCAACTGGCCTGGATTTTTTAAAGAGATAAGTACTCTAACTGGCCTGGATTTTTTAAAGGAACAGTTTTCAAGGACTCCAACTGGCCTGGATTTTTTAAAGGAACAGTTTTCAAGGAATCCAACTGCCAAGTTTTTTTTAAGGAATACAAAGGCGTCGATTTTTAAAGAATATTTTTTCAAGGACTCCAACTGGCAAGGCTTTTTTAAGGAATACAAATGCGTCGATTTTTAAAGAATATTTTTTCAAGCACTCTTACAGGCGCCGATTTTCAAAGAATAATTTTTCAAACGTAGCCTTTTTAATGAATATTTTTTCAAGGACTATTTTTTCACGGTTTCCATAGGCGTGAATTTTTTAAAGGAATATTTTTTACATCCTACCCTTGCCGACCACTGTTCATCCTCCATATACACCCAACAAATGCTTCATTTATTTCTTAGCACAACTACCCAGAAGTGATACGAACAAAAACTAAAACAACAACAATAAAGTATTTTGGGGAAAACTGGAAAATGAATCGCCTATAAGAAGGCAATATCCCCAATAGTAGAATGTGTGTTAAAGGCCAGTTGTTTGCCACTTTATATGGTTATTCTTTTTTTAGTTTTTCTCTATATTCTGATGGCAATACCGATTCCTTTATGTTTGTCCATGAGCGGAAATGCTTGAACAAAAAAATATAAAAAAATCCTCAAAAAACCCCAACCATATGAAAAAAAAATCACAACAACAAGAAAATAATTGAAAAATCTGTCGCTTATCTTTATAATCAATAATAATAAATTGTCTAGAAGAGATAGAAAACTTTTTGGTGATAGCCGGTTGAGGGAAGGTAGCTAAGAGAGTATTGGGAAGAATTAAATTAATAAAAAAAATATATTAAGGAAGGATGATAGAAGTTATAAAAAAAACTGGAAAAGAAACTAAAATATTCCTAAAAGTATTCCGTATAAAGGAATCTTATAGGATCTTACACAAGCGGGGATTTTTTAAAAATATTATTTAAGGGGACTCTACGAATTTTTACAAATATTTTAAGCATGGATTTTCAAAAAAAAATTGCTTCAAGGTACATACATAAACATTTTTCTATGCTCCATACATAAACTGGAATTTTTTTGTAAATATTTTTTGAGATCCTTTTTGTGTGGATATTTAAAAAAGTATTTATTTTGTTCAAATATTTTCTGTGAAAATCAGTAACCATTGTCTACTCTTTCCTAGAAAGTTTTTTTTTATTTTTTTCTACATCCGTAAAATATTTATCCTCCCTTCTCCAAAATTGTTTTCCCTCTTTATTGGTCCTTGATTGGCCAATATGGAATCCCATTAATCAATGGCTGATATTTTATAGGTTAAATTGAAATGACCAACCTCTGGGACAACCCCGATTATTTCGTTTGAGGTTGGACTGCCACTCATATTTCAGTATAATTTCTGGGCCTGATTTGCAATGTCTGTGCAACTCTGCAGTTTTAGTGTCCTACAGCATGTTAACATAAATTAATTTACTTTTAACATTCATTTTTACAAGTTTGCTAAGTTGAATGCAACTGCTGCAGAAAGAAGCAGAAAAACACACAAACACATGCAAAAAGTAGGCGGAAAATATAAACAATTTTAATTTGTGCAATATTTCTTACATTACTCTCCGGGTTTTTGGAATGTAATAGCGAAGCGAGCAGCCCATCATTGCAGATCACTCCCCTAGGTTTCTTTTTAGGTTTCTCAACAAGCTACCGCCACACACACACGGACACATAGTCTACCATGCATAAAGCCTAGCTAGCAGTCAGACAGACATGCTGACAATCGACGGCCAAGCAATCAAAATGCTAGGCTTTTTGTGAAATGCTGCTAAAGTGTTGCATAGGCAATGTTGCATGTTGTAACAATAACACAATGTATGTTGGATGTTCAAGAAAATTAATAAAAATGCTAACAAAACACCAACAACAACAAAAACAACATCATACATCTTATAAAGGAAATATGCTGTTGCAGCTAGCCATACAAATTATCCCCTAACATAACACACATATCTCATGGTCGTCCTCAAGACGTATTCAAGGGATAGCAAATGCAGAGGAAATATTGTAAAACAACGTTTGCCAAATTTTTTGAAAAAAATAAATTTGAAATTATTCTGTATTATCTCAAGATCTTTTAGTCCATGGTTTCGGCCGGACCGGGATCTTTGTACATTCTTCAGAAGAAAACATTCTAAAATTTGTAAACGTCCCAAAAATATTTTTAAATGCTTCAGGCTTTTATAAAGGTCCCGAAAAAATATTTGTAAATACTTCAGGCCTTTTTAAAGGTCCCGAAAAAGAATTTTAAGATACTTCAGACATATGTAAAGATCCCGAAAAATTAAAAAATCCAAGTCTT